GCTGCTGCCTTAAGCAGGCACTTGCTGCCCTTCCATTCCTCACAAGCAGTTATTTTGGTGGCCCCCACAATGACTAGGAATTGCTACTGAAGGAGCCATCCCACCCCCTCGCTTCTGAGGCAGAGGAATTGGTGCCAAGATCATCACTTTCCATTCTCCGAGGGGCTCCTGACCACAGCAGGCTCCCAGGTTCCTACATATGGTACCAGGGGAACAACATGAATATCATCCCTGCTTCTAGAGCCTGCAGCAACCACCACCAGCCCTTTCTGTCACCGTGGGCCTGGAGGTGTTCCTCCAGGGTACTTCACCCAACTCCTAATCCTCCCACTCTCCAGTTGCCCTGCTCCTTTGCTTTAGAAGCAACTGTTGGTAAATGACTGATTGTAATTCAGTGGGAGATCACTTTCCTGGTGATCTTGCAAGCTCAAGAATCAGTGCCTCAGCATCAGAGAGGGAAGGGTTTTTATAGAAGAAACTTGTTAGCACCAGAGAAGAATGAAGGACAATAACCTACTTGAGTCTGAGAAAACTGGGGCAATCGAGGACTCGTCTGTCAAAGCCTTTTCACTTCACAGCCACTGCCAGGACGTGTCAGAGCAACTATTCAGTTGTACTGCAGTCCCAGCAAGGATCTGGGACACAGAGCAGCTGCAATTTCACTGCACCTGAGTCACTGAGCACCTGCAATTTATACAGGCTTTGCTGATTTGCAAGAATTTGCAAGAAACTGCACCTTTTCTACAGTTCTCTAAGTTTACTGTTTGGTAGGGTGCAGTGATAACTGCTTCCCTCCTCCTAGCCCCAGCTTTTGCAGGACTCAAGAAGGGGACGAGGCCCTTGAGAGCTCAGAGCCTGTCCATCCCTGCAGGGCTCAGCCTTCATGCAAGTGGGTTGGAATTCCCAGCAGTTGCAAACACATTTCTGGCATTCTTCTTGCAGCACGGGGGCCACCACGCTCGAGGGGTGCTGGATCAACCAACCACTAAATTTTGTATCAAAAACAAAGCTTTTTTTTTTTTTTTGCTTTTGTACTTACCTTTTGCTGAGGAGAAGAGTTGACCCCTGGAACCTGTGTGTTCACCACGAGCTGCGTCTGCCTGTCTTGCTGGGAGCATGAATGTGCTAGCAGGCTGACTCAGCTGCTTCTGGATGCTCAGATGTGACTAGGAAGTACAGAACAACGTCCTCTGGGATATCTGGCATGTGGGATGAACGCGTGCTCCCTTCCCAGCCTCCTTCCTCTCTTTCCCACCCCTCTGAAGCTTTTACACCACGAAGCCAGCAGGCAGGAGGGGCTGCCTGTGAGCTCACGTCCCACGCTCTGTGCACAGTCATCCAGTGGCGTGTCCTCTCCAGCAGTCACCTGTGCTTTCAGGTTTTAAAGGCTGATACAAAAATGATCTTGCTCCCCACAAAATGCCTTGGGGGAGGCCACCATCCAGCATGCCCAGGCGAGGTGATGACAGGGGACTGCCAGGCAGGACCACCAGAGCATTGCTCCGGAAGCAGCACCACCCATGGGTCACAGGTGTCAGGTGAAGCCAACATACTTGGGTCACAGCACCTGTGGGAAGTCTCTGCTTCCAGCACCAGCGCTGCAGACTGAAGCCCCACACTCACATGGGCTGGATGCAAAAGTTTGTAAAACCTGCTGGCTGCTCGGGCAGGGAAAAAGGAACCCACAAATCTGCATCAAGTGGAAAATGCTTGGAAGGAAGGAAAGACAGGGCAAACATCTGAACTGTATATTTTGTTATGTCTGCAAAAGTCTGTTTTTTTTTCTTATTGTCTTCTTTACCTAAAAAAAATAAACAAAAGCAGGCAGCAGAACACTGCCTGTCAAGTTCTGACCCAACTGCTTTGTGCAGAAGCACTGAATAAAGGGAAGTTGAAGGTGTGATTAAACTCACCCAGCACACCCACTACTGATCCTGTATGGGGGTACAGTCGCCCCTATCCCTCCCCTGACAAACTTTCCTGATTAGTTTCTGCCTTCACACCCCAGCTGACTTCTGGACCCTGATCTCCAAACAGTGACCTCATTGCCTTGTTCAGCTGGTGAGAAACTACAGTAAAATGGGAGAGGTAAACAGAGGGGAGGGGGAGCTAATGGCCAGAAGATTTAGGAGGTAGGAATCTGCTCCTCACCATCCTCCTTCCATTGTGTGCCTGAGCTTGAGAAAGTGCAAGCTGAGCCTGGACAAGCTCTTTTCTGTGCTGGTTCCTCTGGAAACTCAGTCCAGCCCTCCAGATGGTGTATGTTGAGTGACTCGGGACAACCAGCTTGCAAGTTATATGCCCACTAGTGTTAGACTCGCCCTCCTGTCACCACCACAAATCCCACAGTTAGTGCTGCAATTCATACACCTTCTGCAGCAAAAGCTCTTCATTCCCAGGCCAGCCAGCTCACCAAGATATACCTGATAGAAACTAGAGGGCTTGTATTGTCGCAGAGCAGAATTTGTGTCAGCTCCACACAGCCAGCAGTGCAACTGCTGCTAGTTCATGCTCAGGATGATTAAAGAAGCACCATTAACAGTCCTCTGCCTACGAGGAGTATGTACAATATAACTGCACAATCCAGCCTTCAATATCCTTCTTTGGGATGTGTCTCAAAGTGTCACCCCACTCCTGACCCTGACAGATACCTCCAGGCCCTGGCCAGCAGCAGCTCAACTCACATTTGTCTTCCCAGACACTCAGTCAACACACCTTTGTGTCCTTTTTCTTTAGAGGAAGGGGTCTTGCTGAGCTCACCCTGAAATATATCACCCTGGACAAAAGGGCTGAAAGGTTAGGGAGCTCCAGGGGGGTAGTTCAGCAGGGAGCTGGGGCCAGTCGCCTGCCAGGACCAAAGCTATAAAGGCAAAGAGGGGCCAGGGACTGCAGCTGACACAGATGCTGCAGGTCGTGCCTCGCCTCCCACGAGCCCTGGGGTAAGAAGAAGATGCTGGGGCTCCAGTCGTGGCCTTGTTCGCTTTTCCTTCTCTTAGCTCTGCTCTCCGCCAGCGTTCAGACTGTGTCCTTGCCAGGAGAGAGGCTACAGGTAGGAGGGACTGGGAGAGAGCTGAGGGAGGCTTCAGGAGTGGAGGGGCAATCTGGGGAGGTCATGCTTGAACCTGGAATGGGGGCAGGGGGGGAGGTGTGCAAATTCCAGCTGCTGCCTATTCTCCTTCCATCCAACAGCCTCAGCTCGAGGGTGATGGTGTCTTTATAACCCAGCTCCTAAAGGGCACCAGCGTTAGAAAGCAGCAGGCAGAAAAAAGCCTTTCAGTCCCCCCTGGTGTGGGGCAGGCAGCCCACGGACTCCCCACGTTGCCTGCAGGGGCTTTTAAAGGTGAAGCCCCACTCCACCCTGTGTAAGCAGCTACCAGAGACTGCAGTCACGTCCCTTGTCATGTTCAGAGCCTTGGTTCTGACGTTTCAGAGGCAAGGCTCATCCTGTTAGGTCAGGATTTTCACTCTAAGCTCTGGAATGTCCCCAGGTAGCCTGCCTTTAAGGCCAAGAGCCCCTGCCAGCACGCCAGCCGAGGGCTGCTTCACTTGGGTAAATCTTTTACCCTTAGCATTTGCAGCAAGAATACTTTGGCTTTCAAACCTACCCGGCTCCCTCTTACCCTGAGCCACACCACCTCCCCTTCACGTCACGCTGGGAAAGCTACAGGGAAGCAGTGAGGACGTGAACCAGGATCACAAGACCCATCCTGCCGGTGACTCACCCGCTTTCACTCCTCGCCCAGGATGATGCTTCGGTGAACTCGCTGGGGAGCAGAGCTGCACACAGGCATCCTCAGCCCCAGCTCAGCACCCACGTGAGGGACAGACAGGGGCATGGCTGCCTCCCTGGGCAGCAGGGCCATGCCTGCACCCTGACCATGCCTGCACCCTG